TCCAGCAAAACTGTGACATGCCATATAAGAAGAAATAAGATCAACATCAACTAGAAGTTATAACAAAGAAACCTCACCTCAACAGTAGCAATACCCTCAAGGAACTTGGACCTTCAAATTGGAAATGCCCTCAGCTTCCTGGAAAATATTTAATAAGAAAATTTGACCGGTCAAAAGGGTAAAACATAATCATCCATCAATATGAGAGACAATATCTACACTTATATTCCAACAATTTTTTCATCCATAAAAATAAAACTTTTAGTGAATAAACATAACACGTTGTCAGCTAACTGAACGGGATAAATTACAACCAAGATATCTCGTCTAAGGTGAGTTTCAATTTCACCCTTTAACCGCAAAGCATCTTATTATGGCATTGAACATATCAAATCATCTAGGTTTAATTGCTGCATCACCAGGAAGCAAATTAGACAGTTACATGTCACACATTCAACAATCACCCATGTAAACATTGATGTGCGAGAATGGTGCCACACATCCATTCATTGACTGGTCAGAGATGGCTAGTGGAACCATCTGCCATTGGCTACTTGCACCATTCGTTAACAAGTAAAGAGTTACTAGATTTTAGCCAGTGAGCGAATAAGTCCATGATTAGCAAGTTTTTTAGTAACCAACATTCATTAGTGACAATCGGCTCTAAAGTAATATTTAGCAGTTTAATTAAACACATAGTGACAGAGTCATAAGACTGAAATGATTTAGTACGTAATGAAAATATAATATTTGAAAATTTGTCTGATGAAATTGAAAATCACTCCCTACTCGGATGACCTTCTGCCTAATTTCCCCTCTCATTGACAAACGAAAAGGAGACCAATTTAGAAACAGTGGGCTGTTTCTTGAAAAGAGCATATTCAACCCTTCCAACTTTGATAATTTATATATAAAAGAGTAGATTTCAAGCTCAGCTAACTGCAAAATTTCAATCACTTGATTTTAATTTTACATCAACTAAGGAAAAGCTTAAAATAAAGTAAGCAATACAAGCATATGAATAACAAAGTTACGAAGAAAAGATATTAGGTATGGCAGGAAGTTTTACCTTTAAGGCCTTGGTAACTGTAGGAATAGCTGTTTCATTCATGGTTCCATCAGCCTTCAAATATGGGAAAACTGACTATTAGTAGTCCATTAAACAGAATGCTCAACATGAAGGCTTAAAGCAGTTGCATTCAACGGGTAGTCCCACAACCCAAAGCAAAAGATGTCATAGAGGGTTCTTATCTGATCCAGGAGCCAGTACAAGTAACAGGTTGACTCACAATATATGATTGACATAAAGAGAATTTAATAACATAATGAAGCATTAAAAATCAGCAGCATCCTCGTATGAATTTAAAAAGAACTACGTGTGTGTGTGTGTGTGTCAGCGACTCTTAAACAAAAATGGGTTTCTTAAGAGTGATTGGTAGCTATGATCTTGATCGTTTGCAGTAACTAAAAATGACCTAACAAACCAACAACAGCAAGACATAACATACAAAATGTTGTACCACCCATGTACATTCGACTCAAATTTAGACATAATCTACAATCAGCAAGGCCCAAATCCCCAGCCACTACCCCAACATCACACAAATTATAAGGAAAGAAGTAAACAACATTAAAACTGCTAAACGATAGTAAAATATTAACAAAATAAAAACCTGGAAGAGCATGGTGAGCGTGTCGGAGGGAGAGACAGGGATCGAGACAGTCTCTTGTTGCTGATTTGCTTCTTGTTCGTTGTCGGCTTGTTCTGTCTCCCCTTGCACTTGTTGCGCAGGGACTAAGGTATCTTCCTCGACCGATCTCAGCAGTCTAAAACTCGGTCTCTTTTCCTTGCTCAAGAATGTCAAGGGCCTAAAGCCATTGATTATGCAACTGCTGTTGCTTGTGTGGAGATGGAAGTTTGGAGGATAAGAAAGATGGGTCAGCGAAGAACTGTTAGTTCTTGGAGTAGCAACGCTACAGATAGAATGGAAAGTAGAAAATGCAGTGAGTGTCGCCATTTTTGTTGTGGGGTGCTCTGAAAGGGAAGGGATTTTGGCTGGGGATTCTGACTAGTTTCAGTCGCCTATCCAGTGGAGGGGAATTCGTATGGTGTTTTGTTAAGAACCGGTTTATCGTCTTTACTGGATTTGAAACCGGCCTAAATTAATTAATTAATATACGCAGAGAACGGATTGGATGGACATGTAATGAGTATTAAGATATCAAACTATAAAATTAATATATTTTTCAAAAATTAATGAAAATAAAAATTGACCCATTTTGAAAATGGTTAAAAGTATGTTTTGCGAGTGTACGTACAATAAATAAACAAAAGAGGTTTTACTTGAAAATTAATTGAACCTATTTCAGATATTTAATTAAAAAACCATATCAAAAATGGTTAAAAGAAATTGAGACTTATTTTATTTAATATGTTTTTAATTAATTTTATTTAAATTTTAATTATTTTTACTAATACCTCCGACGATATATTTCCATCTAACACTCTGAAATTTGGACTTAACGTTTTAAAAATTATTGGGAGAATTAATATATTAATTTTGTAAAATTGTAAAAAAAAAAAAATGCATTTTTAAATTAAATATACAGATATGGGGTACTTTTGAAATTTTAGGAAAGCCAAGAATTTTCAAAACTTACTTTTTAAAAAAAAAAAAAAAAACCCTTGAAAATTAATAATTTTACAATTAGGGACCAAAATGAAATAAAAATAATACAAAATGATAATTCTGTAATTAATTAGAGACGTAAATGAAAATATTTTCCATTGAAAGCGGGCAACATTAGCATGATTTTTTGCATAGATGCCAAGCAGGCATGCAACTATGAGATATGGCCACGAATGTTGGTGATGCTGATTGAACGACTAACATTTTGTGCATTTAATTTTTATTTTATTCTCAACATGGGCAATAGAAGTTTCTTATAACAAATTCAAATCTCATCTGCAACTCATCAAATTCGATTATAAAAATAATAATAATAATTTTTTAAATAAAGAAAATAAAAGTCATGCTATTAACATTTTTTATCTTGTTGAAATTTCATTGTTTACTATGGATTTTGAATGAGTTTTCAAGTAAGAAAATAGTTTTTGCTTGAATATCAAAAAAAAAAAAAAGTTTAACGGAGAAAGAATGAGAATAAAATAGTATAGACGAAGTAAAAATTTGATTTATAATGTTGAGACAAAAAGAAGAGATAGCGAACACTAAAGATGAGGAGTTGGTCATTTGTGGCGATGATATTATATAAGTTATCAAAATAATTGACTAAAAATAATGTATTGATTTGTACTTCCATCAAGTATATGTAGTATACAAGCAATAAGTAGATGTAGTAATTTGAAATATTCTTTGTAATATAATAACCCTTGACAAAAGGCATTATTAAAGCACACATAAAAACCCATAAATCTCATACATTTGCTTACAAGTAAATTTCTTGGAGGGGCATCTCCTTATTTATCCATTGATTTCCTTCAAATTCTTCGTAGCATAAACACTCACATATCTACTTTATTCAACTCGTGAAACTGTTCACAGTTTAACATTACAACTCGCTTATCAGTAAACTTGTAGGAACAATCCTTAAAAAATTTACATTATGCTAAAAAGCGTACACACATATGTATGTATTGGATCCATTTTTGCCTTGCCTCATGCCAATCTTCTAGAGCTCCAATACCAAGTCTAAAACAAACACACAAGAACCGCACTTCTTACTAACTTGATTTAAATATTTAAACATGGTTAGTTATTTTAAAAAGTTAAATTAATATAAGACGGTATATTTCATTATTTTTATTAGTATATATTTTTTTATAATACTCTCTTAACAAGCAAACTAGATTCTAAAAATACATTTGTATCAAATTTTAAAGAAAGCACAAAAGTTCTAGAATGAGAAAGAAGAATTTTTTTGATTTTTTTTTTTTTTAGATAGTTTAAAGTTATATTAATAAATAAAATAATTGATGAATAAATCGTAAAAGATATAATAAAATTGCAAATTTTGATACATATAAAAGAATTAGTAGTTTGAGGTCAAATATTCTATCCTTCATACATACATACATACATAAATAAATATATATATATATATATATGTATATGTATGTATATATAAATCTGTCACAAATTATTTCAAAAGTTTTAAAGTAATTAAAAGATAACACAACCAATTACTTATATTATAGTATTTTTAAGTTGTGTACAGGGACAGTGAGAGTACATTCTTAAAAACTTATTTCTAGAAAAAGTAATGCAATCATAATTTACATGGTTTTATTATCATTCTTTTTTAGGGGGTACGATTGAACAAAATATTATTTTTTTTTTTTTCAAATTCGTCTAAATATTCTGCTTAATTTAATTAAGACGTATCGAATTCTAGTAAAAAATATTAAAGTTTGATATCGTAAAGAATTCAAACGAAATATTTGAAAACATCGAATTCCAAGTTCCTTTAAATGTATAAAAATCTAGAATGCATTATTTATATTTTATTTAAAATTTTTTGGAGTTTAATTTTTTAAAAATTTTTATGAAATTTTTACCGCATGGCAATATATTAAATTTTCGAATAATTTTTTTAAAAATAAAAAATTAAAAAAAAGTTCCTAATTTCTTGACGTAATTGTCAGCTGAAGGTAGTAAGTCTTCCTCAAAACAATAGTGTAATTACTATTATTATTATTATTATTATTATTGAGAAAAAAAAAAAAAAAAAAGATTTGCTTGCTTCTGCAAAGTGACTTTAAGATCTTTATCTTATCTTTTTTTTTTTGTTTTCAATTAAAAGGACCTTCATGGTGTAGTAAATTGTATGCATGTCTTACCAACATTAGTGGCCCAATATTGGGAGGGTAAGGTTTGCGATATGATTTTGTGCTCAATATGACGAAGTCCATAAATATGGTGAATGTTTAAATCAGTAAAAATGCAACAAGTTTAATTCCTTTTTGAAATTGAAAAGATAAAGAAAACACACATAAAAGTAAAAGAGCGAGAGACACTTACAATCTGCATCAGTTCTGATCCAGTACTCCCTGTTGCCATTTGAGTCGGTTGTGGTAAGAGTAAACTGAGATGGGTTTGACTGGCTCTTGTTGCGTCTTATCGGCTCCTTTGAAATAATTCTTGTTGGAAGTGTGGCTACGTCCTCATCCTGCAGGAGCATCTGCCGCGCTACGACGTCGTTTGCACCATCAAGCCACATGTTCTTCTTGTTGTTCCCCGCTTTGCCGTGCTTTTGGAGTGATGTTGAGCTTTCCGGATGAACTTTCCTGTGGAACATCTGCAAGATCTATATCCAACAAAACTCTATTAATTACAACTTTGTTTAACCACTCCATAGATATGCATATGCAACGTAGTAGCGCGTAAAAGTACGCACCTTGTGCAGTTTTGTCTCTTGTGAAGCTGAATCGTTAGTGGAGGTCCTGGAGGCCTGGAGCATTTTCTTCTTGAGCATCTTTTTCATGATATGCACAGCGGATTTATCTGCTTCTTTATCGGTTGCTCGTTTTTCCTCTTTGTCCCACTTTCCTCCCGATCCGCTGTTGTGATCCTCTGCTATTTTAGTCCTCTGGAAGAGCTCCCCCAGCGACGTCCTATGCTCTTTCTTTGCAACTGATGCAGTTGTTTCCGAGAGTTCAATGGCTGACCCAAAAAGATATCCCTGAAGTGGGCACACTGTACTCTCTACACCACCTTCCATTGCTTTTCCACTCAGTGTGATGCTGCTTCCGTGGCTGCTTCTCCCGGTGCTAACATGACTGTTTCTCCCAGATGAGTATTCATGATCTTGACCCTCACCTCCAAGAACCTTCTCCAACTCATCGTTGATCAGCTTCAGCTCACTCTCTGTAACTTCTGTTTCCCTCTCCGTGATGTTATCGACGGAGATGGCGAATGTTGGGGTTGATATTGGGTCATTGCCAAGAGTACCGATCGCAAGAAACCCGTGGAATAGCTCAGACACTGATTCATCTTCGTACTCCTCTTCTTCTTCTCCTTTTGCTGACTCAACTCCACCAAAAGACTTTCGAAGCTGCTCTTTTTGACATTGCTTCCCATAATTTGCCTTTGAGTAGCAGTGTTGGTCATCCACTGAAGCCTGCCCTGTAAGACAAGTACAAGAATTCCCTGACAAAAATCATCCACACAGGATTTATTCTCCACCTTTACAAAAAAAAAAAAATATATAGAAAAACAGACCATGCAGAAATATTCAAAGCAACAACCATATACTGGTATTGGTACCGGTGTTTAGAATTTACCTCACACTTTTAGGAATATTTAATAATATTTTATATTTTTAGCGAACAACTTACCAATGGCAAAATCTTTGAGTAGGTCGCTGCTGTTCTGACGGAACTTACGGTGCATCCAACCTAATAACTGCTTCAAAATCAAGTGGCAAATAATAACATTTAAAATAGGAAATTAAATATATTATATTTAAAGATTTGGAAGCCAAGTAGGGTGTTTAAATTATTACCTTCATTGTTATGTTTCTCTGATGGCCTGGGCTTTGTGAAGAATATTGTGAGAATGAGAGGAGAAGTTGGAATAGCTTTTTATAAATGATGAGAGACTGAGAAAGAAAGATGGTAGAAGAGAAACACAGAGATGAATACAAGATTTAGGTTGGCCATTAATTGGCAAAGATCAAATCATGTGAAAAAATGGAGCGTGGGTCCTGAATCTGTTAGCATGAAACTCGATCATCTCACCTGGCTTGGTCGTCAAATCCTCAACACAGCTTGTTTATTGTGAGAATCCTCTCTATTCATCTTAAAATTTGTCACTTGCTCCCTGGATCTATGCTCTCACACGCATTCAACCAAACTCTGCATCACTTCTTATACGTGCCCCACTGCCCCAATCCCACAACATCACTTGTCTACATGCTCCAAAAGCTGTTTTACTATATTAATTAAATACCTAAATGCATTTCATTTAGCCTTTTCCTCTTCACCCGTTATATATGTATATATTCATATCAAACGTGTTTCTACTTTGTGGAATTTTAGTGTGTACCAAACTTGGGTTTTAAACGTCAGAAAAAAAAAAAAATTACTTCTTTTTAAGTGTTATAGTGGTGTAAATTCTTCAACCTTAAAAACAAAAACAAATACATTTATGAGATGTTGTAGATGTCTTGACTAGAACTCTCAATGGTCAAGTCAATAGTAGTAATAAGACAAGAGAAACATGTTAGGTTAGTTTATATTGCAAAGATTTTACTTATGTGTGTTCATTCAGCATAGCATTTATAAAGATTTGGTCCTTGAGCATGTAGTAAATTTGAGAGCAATTTTAGCCAATTTAGGTAGCCGTGTAGGTAGCCAATTTATAAAGAATTGGTGTTGATTAATAAAGACATTAATTAGGAGGATAAGAAGCCATGCCATGCTTTGGTAGACCATATTGCTTTCCTCAAACCTTGAATCCTCTCGTCTTGTGCATCATGTTTCTTTGAAAAAGCGAGATAAGGATTAAAAAAAAAAACAACTGTTATTAAACCTTTCGAAAGAAAAAGAAACACATATGCCAAGATATCCATCGTACCAATAAAATATAAGAAACCAAACATTGTGATTAGACTCATGTATTAGATAGAGTTTGATCATGCGTATTAGAAACCTTAGGTTTTAAGCTATTTTTTTTTTTTCTCTTAATAAAATTTCAACTTGAGAGCTAATTCTTGCTCTCTATTTTTGTTATAGTTAAAGCAAATGAAAAAATTTAAAAAAAAAAAATTGTATGGTAGTTAAGGCATCCTTCTTGGATGATTTAAATACCGAGTGTTGAAAGAAAACTCCAAGTTTTCTTTTTTCAAACCTCAGCCATGAATGTTAAAAATCATATTTGATTTTACTTCAAGTGTTCAAAAGACATTTCCCTCTTAAAGGTTTTCCACTCAATTTCATCACATGAAATAGATTTTTATCTTTACCACCTTATTTTGTTTAAAAGAAAATCTTGTTATCTCATTTTCTCAAAAGGAAAAAATTTCTAAAATAATTACGTTCTAATGAATTTATGCTCAAAGTAATTTTTATTGGTACAATTACATGTAAAAGATTTATTATGTGACAAGGAGATAACTATTTATAATATTTGTGATGATATACAAAATCTCCGAAAGTTAGATCATGTGTTCTTACAATATATTGTTACAGAACATTACTAAACAATACATCCTTTTTTTATGTAATGTTTTTGAGAAACTTATTGAAAAAGTAGGGAATAGAACTTAGCCAATAGATGGTGATGGTTGTGTGGGTTATATGGTGGAGTATGAATTGTTAGTTAATTTAAAAAAAAAAAAAACAGTTGACTTCTCATGACGGGCTTCTACCTATGTATGAGAGATTATGAAATTTTAAAGATTTTTTATACTAAGATTATGACACTAATGAACTCAAAAAAAGTTTATTGATAAATAATATAGACTCCATCACTAAGTGATTCATTTATGCTTTGAAAGAACTAGTTTGGGGTGTAACGTAAAACTTGACATGGACAAATTATGTTTACAACTATAAGGAGAGTTTTATGTAATAATTTTATGAATACAAATTTTTTAGTTTATCTTTAAAAAAAAACAATAATAATGTGTTAACATTTTTTAATTAGTAAAAATGATACAAGTAGCATTTTCATGAGTTTTTGTATTAATAATGAAAATATTTTTAAATTAATTTTAATTATTATATGATATTAACGTTGTAATTATTATTTTTTTAAATACGTTTTTTCTTATTATTCATAAAACTTACAATAAAATTGTTAATGATTTACATAAAAAAAATTTATTATAACTTGACGGAGAAGTTACTTTGGTAGCAATGAGGTGACTTGTACAGTGGAGGTTGTTGAGGTACAAGAATTGTTTTCTAGCTCATATACTAATGAGAATGGATTGAGTTCTTTTAATTGATGAAGGTGATGTAAAGAGAGGTTCCAAGGGTTTTAGGATTAAATATGAGAATGTTTCTTAATTATCGTTACTGATAGATGATTGTTAGGGTTCTCTTAAATATATATATATATATATATAATTCTTTAAAACTTTAACAGGGTTTGCCTTTTTTAATGAGTCTTCTTAGGACATGATGACTAAATCTTGTTAGAGGAAGCTAATGATTTTTGGTGCATGTGAAATCTATTTTTTATATTTAGTCTTTGTTACAGGAGTTCTTGGTTTGCTGTTGGCAAACAACTTTATTTTTTGATGTTTGTTTTCCTAAAAAATGATGAACTACGAATATTTAACATTTTTTCAGTTTAATTTATCTTGGGCATAAATAAGCTGCCTCTCACTTTTTAAGTTTAAAAATAAATAAATATAAAGAGGCAGAAAAGATCGGTGCAAGGCTTTTAGGCTTTGGTAGCTGGTGATGGATATGTTGTTGCCAAAGAAAAAAGGAAAAAGAATAATCATCTGAGCTTAGCGGAACTCCAAGAAAACTCAAAGCTGCCTCCCAAAGGACCCTTTCGATTAATTTGCCCTTTTATTCTCCGCATCTCCCTCGGATCGAAACCCCCAGATTCATATTTTCTTTTTCCTTCCCTTTCTAGTCTCTCTCAATCTCTCCTTTTTCTTCACAATTTGCCGTTTTGTGCCTCTCATTTTCCTCCTCATTTTTCAAGGTTTTTCTCTGCCTTCTATCACCTCTAATTTCCCAGGAATCGTTCCCATTTGGGTGTTCTGGTCGTTAGGGTTTTGGTTTTCGCTTCGTTGGTTGCTTGATTTTTTTGCTTATTATCCGTATTACTCCTAGATCTCTGTTCCTGATCTTCCCTTCTCCTTCTTTTCTCCATTTAGTATTCCTTGTGGGTCCTGCACTTTTAATTCAATGTCACAAGGTTATGCCATCGAGCTCTATTTCGATCCTGCCCTTGAAACCAGGTCTTGAAAGCCTGAACGTGCTTGCTCGTCGCCAAATCAGTACCCAATTGATCGATATCGAGTCACGGCCACATATAACCCTGTTTTCCAGCTCCTTTATCGAGCCTGCAAAGCTTGAGTCGGTCATCAAACCTTTGCTTCTAAGCAGAAGCACTGCCGTTGTCTTTCTCGATGATTGGAGTTTCCCAAGTGACACAACGTCCTGTTTCTGCGCTACGCCATCTATTTCGCTGCTTCAGTTCCAGTCTCAGTTGTGTGATACAATGAAGAAGGAGGGGATTGAAATTGGGGAAGAATATCGTGCGGACTCTTGGGTGCCTATTTGCTCCGTTGCTCAGGACGTGCCCAAGACCCGAATGGCCGAGGCGTTTTGCGTTTTGAGGGACTTGAAGTTGCCAGTTAATGGGTATGCAATGGATATTGGTCTTGTCGAGTTTTCGCCGGTTCGTGAGCTTTTCTCCTTTGTACTTGGTAACACGGTTGAAGCATGAGCTTCTTAACAGCCATTGTGATATGTAAGCTGGATGTTCAGTTTCATGTTTGACTGTGTTACGTGTGTGATGCAAAATGTGAGATCATAAATTGATAGATTTAAGTGCATAACAGAAGATTGCAGATTATGGTTTTGAAGATTAGTTTCAATTTTCTTGTTTTACTCTACGATGCTATTATTTCTGATTGTGATTTATATGGGGGTTTCATTATGGGATTATGTTCTTGAATAATGCCTACAAAGACCATACTGCATTCAAAATTTAGTGGGGATGTCGGTTATGCTTTTGCAATTTTCTCAGACTACAGTTTCCTTCTGGTTTAGATGCCAGAAGAATTGATTTGGTCAAGAGCATAATCTTGTTCTGGTTTGGACAATAAAGAATCATACTTATTGATTCCTTCCTTTACGGAGTTATAGGAGGATGGCCTCGCTGCGATTATAGAAGCCATACGGATCAAGTTACCATTATTTTTGCCTATGGTAATTTGTTGGTTGCAGCAGAATTTTTTTTTTTTTTTTTTTTTTTTTTGTATGTTGTGATTCATCCAATTGAAGAAATGACTGAGTTTTTATGGAACTTAAGAGTCACTTCTTTTCATGCTTAGTTTAGCAAGACTGCCAACTGCTGTACTTGGGCAATCGAGTTAGTATTTGATCAGCTATTTTATTAGAGATAGTCCTTTTCTGAAACATATCTCTGATTCCACAAGAATCTCAACCCATTTTTCTGCTTTGACCTTGTTATTTATTTCTTAAATGGAAGTTTAGAACTTCTTGATTGTTTATCAGCTTTACTTTATATACGTCGGTTATATTTGACGCACTATCCCCACCTATTAATCATTTAAAAAGCTGAACAGACCAATAATTCGTTACATGACCTGTGGCTTTGCCAGTGCCACTGATAATGGAAAGGGATATCATGTTAGAGTATCCATCCTGTTGCACTAGAACATTTTCTTATGGAACCATTGTGGATCACTTTTTTTATGTTAAAACATGCCAGTTTAATTTTCAGCTCATTAATTTACAAGTTCAGCTGCAGATACATGAGGTAAGTATTGTTTGTTTGCAGTGTCATTAACCTTTACCCTATAGGTGTCTACTCACCATACTTTAATTTCCAGTGTGGTTTGTGAAATGAAATTATTAGTTTAACAATTACAAGGGTGTGAGTTTGTGATTTAATTGGACCTAAATTAGTAGTTATTTATGGTTCTCCAAATGTAATATTTTATGATTGTATTGTTATTTGTATGGATATTGGTTTATAGAATGACTTTTCTCAACTTCAGCTGCATTTTGCTCTTGTCCTAGGGGAAGATGATATAGGATAAGCTTGCTTGATAATGAGGGATAGGAATGGAGCATTTTCTTGGTACCTTATTGTTTTGCTGCCTTTTTAAGCTCAAATTCTCTGAAATATTCTTACTGTCCTTCAGTGAGATAAGTTTTTTCAAGTTGGTGTAGACGAGTGGCAGTATGCTTGGTAATATATCTTCTGCCTGTTGGAGGTGTGTTATGGCGTCCTCATAATTCCCTGGAAACTCACTTTCATTGTTCAGTGTTCACGAACACAAGGGTGTCATTTGATGTTTGTCACCTCCTCCTTTGCTTTGTGAATAACTGTATGTTGCAAAGAGAAAATTAGGATTGATTTGATTTTCAGTCTTGACCCCTTGCAGTAGTTACTGGCATAACATGATTTAAAGCTCCATCAAGAAACATGCCTTTAAAACAAGTGGGAATCTTATTCATGCTTGTCTAAATATGAAAAGAAGTGAATCTGAAACTTTATCAAGTGATTGTAACATTAAACTTTACCAAGTGATTGTAATGTAGCTTTTTCTTTTTATCATAATCTCGTGATAAACATGAGTGAAGTGGTTTTGTGAAAGTGGGTTGAACCGGTATCAACCAAGGCTTAATTTTCAGGAATGCAGTGTGAAGCATATGGTTTAAAAATGAATCTACTCTTCCACTTAAATTTGTTTGACCCTTTTAGGAACTATATGGTTGAATTTCATTTGTCCGATGAAACTTTTCAGCACTATGTATCATAATCATTTGATATCATACGTGAAACCTCGGGAGAAACATCAGAGAAGACACTTGCATATGGGAACATTTCTTGATTTGTATTATTAAATAACAGTAATAATAATAAATAATAATTTGAGGAGATTATTGATAACTACAGAGCTATGTACTGCAAAAAATTTCTCTGACCTCTAACTCTAACCTCTTGGTTAGGAAACTAAACTAAGCCTCCTTAGAACTGCCATCAAGAAATCACCCCACACATCTATTGGCCCTGGTAAGCACCAGTGGACACAGTCATTATAACCTTTCATCCATTTGTTACCCCAGTAAGCATGTGGGTGACCATCAGGTCTCATCAGCATTGCCCTTGTGATATCCAAAACTCCGAAGTTCTTCCCACTCTTTTTCCCTTCCTCTTTCGCCTGCTGAATGGCTTCAACCTGAGATTTCCTCATCAACATATCATGACTCTCCACATTAATATCCTTCTCACTAAAAGGTTCGTTTCTTCTGCATCCCCCACCGGTGTTCCACATCCCGTTCTCAAAATGTGACGGCGAGAATGTCCTCAACAATGTCACGAGCCCTTGCTTGCACTGGTTACACTTATTGATCTGCCTAAACACTGCCTCAAACACACTCTTGATGACAACACTAACATCCAGGTTACTAACATTTGGTTCATCACAGTATATACAGCCATATATTTTGCTGCTCTCGTGCAGGATAATTGGTCTGAAAAACCAATGACCGGCTGAGATGATGGCAATGTCCACAGTGGGGAGATCATGGAACCAATTGATATCTAATTTGTCAAGGTAGAGATCAAAAATTCCAGCCCCTGAACCATTGATCATTCTCTCCTCTCCGTCCACAAGGAATTTAGTCCAGATGGTTGAGAGTGTGAAGTTATGGTTAGGGAAATACCATACCCGATTCCGATCTTCAGAGTCCTTGTGAACATCTTTTGGAGTTTCCTCCTGCAACATCACAAGCTCTAGTTCATTAGTCCAGCATAACACAAAACTAGGGTAAATAATGGTTTCTGAACTAAAAAGAAAGGAGTGTATCTTATTTCAATAACTAATTTTTTGTTCTTTTAGCTGCCCCAATCAAACTTAGCGTAATTGAATATCTGAATAGATTTAAATTAGGCTTTTGGGATTTCTATTGTTTGATGCCCAAACCCAAGTACCCAATAGCTGTTATCTTGTTCAAATTTAAGGACTTCAGATACTAAGGAAGCAGCAGCCTTTGCTGAGGAGAAATACACAGGCAAGCATGAATAAATAGATTGAATGGTCTTTTTTTTTTTTTTTTTTGTCAAAAGAATAAAATACATTTAACCTACTAATAATGATGACGTTGACTAACATAACCTACTGTTAAATATTAGCCACGTTACACTCATCATTCATTTTAATGATTTCATACTTAATAGACTTACAGATTACATAAATGCTAATTTTAATTTGGCCAAGTTGGTAAAGCAACGTGTTTGACTTTAGATAGCCTTGAATTTTCGCAGTTGGGACCAAGAATTAGCTTTGACTGGTTTTCATTGAATCAAAATAAGCAAAGTAGGATTGTTTCTTTCTTCTTTTTCTTTTTTTTTTTTGAAGTACTCAGCTATCTTAACCCATATGATTTGTACTGGTACTACTGTAAAATTCACAAAAACAAAGAATTGAACCTTCAAAACCCTCTTACTAACAGGTTGACCCATCAAAACTAATGTGAATGAGATCTGAATTCACACGCATATTCTCCAAGAAATACCAAATCACAAGAAGAATGAAATTTGCTTAAATACGAAGCCATAGAATAATAGAATGGAATCACATGGCTGGAATACGTAAACGCAGAAGAATCATTTTTTTATCCTTTTTTCTTTTTTAAATGACTTATATTCAACAATGCGGTGCGTATAATTGTAGTAAAACAAAAGAAAAAAAAAAGGGAGAAAAAACAACTAACCTTTGACAAGAGACAGAGAAGAGATTCCATGTGGTTCCTGGCCACTGAGTCACCGATAAATGTCATTTTTTTGGCTCGGACTGATTCAAGAAAGGATTTAGGATTGAACCTGGGTAATTCACAATCATCTGGTTTCCATCTCCAATTCAGAAAGCCACTGTCTGGTCTTCCCTGCATAAAACAATTCTTTGAGCTTGGAATTGTTATGCAGCTTGAATTTGTATATACAGACCCATTAGCGTCTGGAACCCAATGACCCTTAAACAAGTCACATTTCTCATCACCGTCATCTACACAAACAAAGAGGAATACATACATTAAAAATGCAGTTGGTTTTTTATAATCACTCCCTAAAAAGGAGAAAATGGGACGTGGAATTGTCAAAAGGTGAAAGGGATTGTAATAATGGAGAACTCCCTTTTGACCCTTTTTTTCCTTTTCTGTAAAAAGAAGAGATGGGTGGTAAAGAAGGGGTACCCTCTAATGCTGGTTTCTTCAAATTCTTGATTTCTGATGTACTCCAACTCTTTTTCTTCTCTGGTAATGGTTTGCTCCAATTTTCATTTCCTACATGAACCAAGAACAGATAAAATCAATGAGAATTCTATGACCCAAACAGAATAATTACGCATATAAATGTTGGAAATCACTTGTACCCTTTATTGGGTTATTCAAAATCTGTTGCAGTGGTTTTGGCTTGATCAAATTCTCAGCATCTGCAAAAAGCCAAAAAATAGAGTTATATATTAACATACATAAACTACAAATCGGAGAACAAAAACAACAGCATTTTTGGACAAAATAGTCTTCGCACCAAAAAACAAGGTGAGATTTCTCAATTTGAAAATCTATAGTTCCATTCCCATTTTTTTAACTACAAAATATCGATTAGCGCAGTCTGAATAATATTTTTGTTTTAGTGAAAGCGTGGTGATTACGTGTACGGTATACATACCCTTTGGTGGTGTAATCAGCTTTTCGTTTTCTGACAACGGTTTGATCAGCGAATTTAAATGATCACCTGCAAAAACCGAACAGCCTATAGAATCAAGAACATGCGTGTATGCAGAGAATCCATCTCCATGGCTAACAGAGAGACGCAAAAAGAAGAAGAAGGACAGAAATGAAAGAGGAAAAAAAGGTTACCGTCCGGCGATTGTCGTTGGGGTTTGATGAAGAGATGTTTATGATAGAAAACGCCTTTGGGCATGGACTTGGGAAAAGGGTACGGAGGACAGAGGATGAAGAAGCTGAAAATGAAAGAAACGACGAGAAAAGGGAAGAGCACAGGTGCTAATTTTCCCAGGTTTATCCATCTCTCTTTCTTGTAATTGTAGCCATGGAGTTTCTCTGGTAAAAGAGCAGAGGATTTCATGTCTCGGGGTTTTGGGAATTGAGTGAGAAATGAGGAAGATGGGTTTTCTTAGTATTTACATTTACAATTTCCCCAGAGAAAAACGAGTTAACGAACGCGTTTGGGATTTGAAAAATCCCAAGATTAAGGTTAGAAGTAGGCGGAGCGAAAGGAGGAGGATATTGATTTTCAGGCTTTGATGGGTTGATGATAATTGTTCGTGCGTTTTTTCGCTTGGGGGAGAAAGGCCCAAAAGTCGGAGTCACTGAAAATTTTGAGTAAGACACGTGGCACTGTTAGAACCGTTTGATAAGAACGCGGCAGTGTCCCCTGATTTCACGGTGATCTCTCTGGAAAACTTTTTGGCAAATTTTGGAAGTCGCCGTATGCAAATTTCAACCTACAAATTTTTGGGCCTTTGGATTTCTCTCTCTCTAAAGAAAATTGGGTTTAACATTGAAAAATTATATTATTCCAATTCACACTTTGACTTTTACTAAATGGTTAAAAGTCACCGGTTCAAATTTAATTAAAATCATCTCTAACGTAGATTTTATTATTTCTAACTTAACTTGCATTTTAACATATGAATTTAATTTTTTTTTTTTTTTCTCGAATCATTTGACCGTTTGCCATGAATACAAAGAGGATTCCTCCCTTAGTAACAAAATCATAGTTAGTGAATTTAATCTTTTGTATAATAATTTGAGATAGCCAATAATTTTTTTTCGATAATTCAAAATTTTATTCAAATCCGATTTTAGCTCACCAAAAATGCTCATTAAAAGATTATCACAAAAGATATTTTTTTTTTTATTTTTTTTTTTTATATATTGGCTGGTAAACAAAAGTTCCTTGGAAAATATTTAGCAAACATATTGATTTTGTATGTTGTATTTATAATACATAAAGATTTGGTGGTGAGGAACATCAAATACACTTGTGATATCTAAAAGTTCAATATAAATTTGGATATTATGTGTAATGCTTTCGTGTGGTAACTGTATGCAGGAGTGCATCACACATTTTATACTTTAAAAAAAAATTTAATTAAATTTTAATAAGTTTTTCCTAATTTTGATACATTTTTTTTATAAGAAAAAAAGAATTATTTTGAGGTTTGTGGATATTTGAATTGTCATTATTTTTTTAAAAAAAAATATATAAATTAAATTTTAGTGACTTGATTTAAAGATGGTAAGTTTCAACTCTTAATTTGTTCTCCATCGCTAACCTTATGATCAAAAGTAGTCATAATACTTGAATAGTAGATGGTAAATTGTATCTCTAACAACTCATATAATGGTTGAATCTTTTGGTTGGTCAAACATTGATGAGAAGGTGTGAAACATTTGTAAATTCAAAAAATGGCAGATCATGAAACCACGTCCTGGTCAAAGATTTTAGTATCTTGAGTAAATTATTATTTTAGTATTTGAATCATTTGTGATGTTTCAAAATAATTTTTAAGTTGGATAATATTTTTCATAAAATGTTTCTATTATCTTTTCAATTTTAGTTTAAAAATTACAAAGATTTAAAATTAATCCTAATTTATAGTTAGTTACGTCTGCAATAATTTTGTGAATTCAAAAATCAAAACACAAGAGGTATATATAATTCGAATAGTTATTGATAAAAAAAAATAATAATAAATAAATAAATAAACTAAATGATAAATAAGTTGAAGTGGTGCCAGTTCGTAGGAAAACCAAAAAGCCCAAAATATAATTTTTGAAATGTGGGTTTTCGTTTAAGATAATTGGGGCAAAATCTAAAAGCCCACGAACAACTACTGGCTTATAATTGTTTAGAAATGGGCCGCACTTACAGGCCCATGACAACAGGTCAAATCTTACCGCATCAATCATTTTTAGGATATTTGGAAAAAAAATAATGGATTTTAAATAAGGCAATTGCCTCATAATTTGTAAGTAGAAAGTATGAAATTGTGGAGGCAGGCAAGATGACAGCTATGGCTGAATCCAAGATTGATGTGGACACAGACATCTCACCCAACAGACAACCCTTGGGGAATCTTAACCAGCAGCTTGAGACACTCGCACATTCTTGTTATCTTTAGGATTGTAACCACACCTTCCATATTATTTATTTATTTATTAGATTTATATTTTACTTCAATCCACTGATAATTATATATATATATATATATATCAACTTATCACTTGCAAATCATGATGAAGCAAAGCTGTCAAAATTATCTCATGATCTCTCTCTATATATATATATATATATATATATATATATATTTTTTTTTTTTTTTCCTTACATAGTGATTGTCTTTTGGGTGTTTAGTGGAAGTTAATAATTGCATGCATAAATAGATAGTAAATGTTGTGTCGGCGAGGGAAGGCATTGGTGGGTGCCTCACTCTTCTCTTATGCACTTGAAGTTTCTCCTCGTTGTTGTTTCAGATAAGGATTAAGTACTTGGTTCTGTTTTATTTCATTTCAAGTTATCTTCTAGCATTTAAAGAATAATGTAATTTACAATAATTAAACTAAATTAATTTCTCTAATAAGCATAAAAGAGATGATGACAGTGTGTGTAATGGATATGATGTGGGTGATCACATGGGAGAGATGTGCGGACATGTGAGCGTGCACAATAATCGGTTTGAGATTCAAAATTTCATTATCTTTACTCTTCACCCGCACCGCTTGGTTGATAGGTTACAACTTACAACCCACATTAAACTCCAACACCATGTGCTTTCAATTTTTCACATTCCTTATCATCCTTTTAATTTATTTACTTTTTATATTTAATTATATTTTGTGTACAAATTAATTATAATTACTATTATTTTTAATAGAAAAATGAATCAATCAAATTTGTAATTTTAATTCCTAAAAAATCGTTTTGCTTTTTTTTTTTTTTTTTTTTTTTGTTTACAGAATTTTTAAGTAATTTTTCATGCTGAAATAAATTTTGATTTGAAATTATTATATTATGTACATCTATGTTCGAACTTTACCCATAGTTAGTGAGTCGCTTATGTATAAAAAGTAGTATATTACTAATATAACATCTTGTA